ATTAAATTTGTTTCCTCGGTAATCTAAATCACGTAGAAACCTCAAATGCATTGTCTAACCTATATTTATACGGTAATACCAGTGACAAATGATAAGAGCTGGAGCAGCCAGGCTGCAACTGTTTAAAAAACTAATAGTTAAATGTACCACTTGCCCCAATTAAGGCACCTCTTGATAAAGAATTACATGCATCAGGTTGTGCATTGTTTATATAGGAACAACTATGATATGCCCCCCCTGGGAAGTGCTACTACCCTGCTAACTGGGGGCAAAAATTACAAGGCTATGACTGACTATCATGCAGAGAAGAGCTAATCTTAGTCCTGGACACACAAAAAGAGTATCAAAGGGGAAGATAGGAGTTGGAGCTGAATATTATGCAACACTTATTGCGTGCATAAGGCTGGGATACGTATAAGAGAAGTTTGAATCAAGTTGTAGACAATAGTTATTTAATATAATGTCTAAAAATTAATTATATATATATATATAGATATATTTATAGATATAATAGTGCTATTTTCTTAGACTTATTTATTATAATAACTGTACTCTGTACTCTGGTCTCAGGGGTGGGGCAAGACTATCCCTACTGACTCCTATATCAAGAGGTATACTCAATCACTACAGCCTAACAATTGCTTGATACCTTTGGTCAATGCCTAGTGTAACATTATAATTAAAATGATTAGAAAACATGGAAGAATTGTGAGCATTTAAAACATGTAGCTAGATTATGATGTTTGTTGTGCCTACTACTGGTTTAATATTGTAGTTTTACCCCATACTCCATACAGACCAACATAATAATGTATGTGAATATGTTTCCTCAAATAAGGGCCTAGGTGTTTAGTGCTTAACAGAGGCAAAAATTATGAAAAAATAAAGTAAAAACTGCAAAAATTCAGATTCAAACCCACAACCTTATGAACAATTAGGCTATTTGGACCACTCTAAACAATAGAGTACATAATACTGGGTCAAATATGCGTATCTATAGTGGTAATATATTAGTGATAGGCCTTTATTTGAGTAGGTCCCCTATTGGAGGAAATACAGTATTATTCTTATTATTGTATTATTGTAATCTAATGTTTATGTTAAGTGGTTAAAGGGTATAGCTAGGTTTATCATACCATTATTGTGAGCCGGCTCTTTTGTTATAATAGTTTTGTAGCACATGTACTGCAAATACCCAGTTTCCATTTGACTTGTTCCTGCTGTTCTAGCTCTCCTACTAGTAACTCTACACATCATTAGAAGGTATCATTCAAAATGGCTTCTTCTTCTTCCAATGATCGTCTTGAGCTAGTAGCAGCTGCATTAACCAGTCTAATACCAGGGAGTAAAGTCATTACTAAAGATGATCCACTGTATGCAACATTGGAGGATCCAAAACCATTAACATACGATATATTAAGTAAAAACGTGATTGTAGAGAGCAGGCCAGAGCCTGAACCTGGGCTAGTTGAACCGTTTGAGGTAACAGAATTAGATGCGGAGGCAGTCACAAACCAGACTATGAGACTTTCTCTTTTAATTGCGACTCCAACAGAGAAATTCACCATCACAGTTCGATTCCTCAATGGCCAACCCTACAGGTTTCGAATAGATCCCAGAGCTACAGTGTATGGACTGAAGTGGTCCATCTTTAAGAGTAAAGGGTTTGATGAGTACTCACAGTATGATGTTAATAACATTGTACTCACCTTTGAGGGAACTGAGCTCAATGATGATGAATTGCTGACAGACTGTGGGATTAAATACATGTCAAACGTAACAGCTGTTGTTAAACTAAGAGGAGCCTCTAAATCAACAATGCTAGTGTTAGATGAGGACCTATTGGATCCAGTTTGGGATTATGACTTCACACACATTGATGATAAGGACAGAGAGTTCAAAAGAGGTGGTCATGTCTACAAGCGTCCGTGTGGCTGGAATAGAATAGCTCTTAGAGTAAGAGGAAAGTATGAAGATGATAAGTGGTTGGAATGTTTTGGTCTACCTGGTGAATGGCCGGTCTCTTATCATGGAACAAAAAAGGAAAGGGCAGAAGGTATTGCTAAAACAGGATATGATCAGAAAAAATGGAATAAAATGTATTATGGTGACGGGTTTTACTCTACTCCTGATATTGCTGTTGCTGCTGGATATGCCACTTCATTTCCCTTTGGAGGCAAACGGTACAAAGTTGTCATGCAGAATAGAGTTAATCTCAGTCCTGGATACACTACCATAATACCAGAGGAGAAGACACTCGCTGGAGCAGAGTATTACGTGACACCATCTGCTGACGACTTACGTGCATATGGTATATGTATAAAAGAAGTTAGTGCTTACAACTTCTTGTGTTAAAAACTAAATGTGGTACATGTAATTAATACTTCTTACACTTCTTTTGAATTTTCTTAAACATAGCGGTATACTACCGTATAGCGGGTTTTTTTCAAGGATAACAAATTTCGCGAATTTTGTGGATTTTTTCATGATTCGCGAAATTAAATTCCTTAAAAATCAATTTAATACAGTACAAGATGGCAGATTAGTGAAAATTTGCGAAAATTAATTCCGCAAACTTCCGGATATGGGTCATTTGCGAAATTTATTATCCTTGAAAAAAACTCACTATACGGTATAACATACACAGTGCATATTAAATGATATTATTATATCTTCATGTAGCTTCAGTAGTCAATATTTTTTAAAAATTGTGAATGGTTGTAATTTGTTCAATTAAACTATGCAAAATCTAAAATGCGCAAATTAAAATGACACATTGTACGGTGTAGTACAATCATTAATGCACATGCTCAGTAATGCATGTGTACTCAAAAATCACCAAATTAAAAACTGCCAATTACAAAATCGATAAAATAAGGCGCTG